CATATATACTTCTCTTGTCCAATTTTGATAAGAAAGAAATTTGAATAAAGATGGAATGAGAGAAACCAAAGAAAATAATAAGATGTTCCTCTAAGGAATAATAAGTAATTTTAAGAAAACGAGTAACTTAATATTTCAAACAAAAATAAAAGTACTATAAACCAAAGACTAGATGTAAACATGCTCTATATACTTAAAAATAGCTTTTAACTAGTAGTTTAGAAAGTGCATATGTTCGGATACCTGTAGTGAAGCACATAAACAATATTGAACTACTTATAGCTCTAACTAAAGTCACATTCCAAGTCATGTTAACTTGACCAATTAACTCTCATATCAGATATTTGAATGCACTCAACCATCTTCTGTTGGAAATCTTTATATGTTAAATACTATTACCTTCATGCGTTTAACTTTCAGTAACCTTATTGTATAGTGTTGAATTTCTTCATGCCTTCAACATTACTTGACACTTATATACAATTAGTCTTTAATAATAAGCTATAGTAAAGTTTATCATATTAGCTTGAGTTATTGTCTATTTTCATTGCTCTTTTAATTTTCTTAATGGAAATTCTATTGTAATACAGTGTTTACCTAGCAAGTTCAATTCTTCATGCACAATCAATTTCATCTCATATTTATTCAATGGTTAGGCTTTAATAAGCAATTTTTACTAATCCATCATTCAATTTTTATCATTATGCTCGTCTAGAAATTCTATATGATGCTAGTTTATCCTTCATCTTATGCTCTTTTAGATGTTATAGTTTTGATTATATACCCGACGAGTTATATTTAGTCATTTTTTGTTCCAGCTTGCTCCTGTACTATTAACCATTATACGGTTGATAACTTTTTTATTTATTGTAATGGTCTCAACTTTCTCAAGTGTTTTTGCATTTTAAAGTACTTATAAGTCAATAAATTTTACTTATCATATAAACTTTACCTCATTCAAAATGAAAACTCTCATTGAGCTCTAAAATAATTTTAAATATATATTTAGTTGCCAGAGATGCACCCCATGAAGTACAATAATTTTTAATTACCTTAATGGGTTCTTTTTTAACGATTAAAAGAAATCTCATTCTTCTCTTACAAACATTGATAGGCACAAATATTCATGTGCAAAAAAAGTTCAGGTAATTTTTCTATAATCTTTTCTTTTCTTACACGCTAGGATTATATTCAAAGAAAATTATATTCCTTATTGTCATTATAATGAAGGATGCAATCTACTATGTCATTTGTATCTACTTATCAAATAATAGATGTACACCAACCACTATGTTAGTGCTTAATCACACGCCAATATGCCATCTATATTTTTTTCTTTTTTTTAACAACTCTTTCTTTTTTTTTCATGCATTTTTTGTTGCTCTTGGTGTTTTAGAATGATACTTCTCACCACATGGATACAACAAATTCTAACATGTCCTAGACTTAGTATGACTTTTTGCCACATCAAGAAAAAATCTATTCATTAGAAAACTTCAAGCTCATTATCCTTGTCTTGACCTGCCACCAACTCCAATGAAGCGGGGTATCCTAATGTGTTTATGGAGAAATGGTGCCACACCAGCCATACTTCATTCCCAAAAAGGGTGATGACCATTATCCTTGTGGATTTTGCTGTGATCACTTCTATAAAAATTGAGAAACCTAGAAAAACATATATTTTGGTTTTGAGCTTCGAGGTTTTCTTATAAGGGTCTCACTTCTCTCATTTGTTTCTTGTTTAGTGGTTAGACTTAAAAAGATGTTTAATTTTTTAAGTTAGGTTAAAATAAAGATTTAGTTTAGAGTTAAACTTGATTAGATTAATATACTTAAAATTAGATCAAATGGATCTAGTCTATTATAATAATTTATTAAAATAAGTGATCAGTCAACCTCATATCTAATCTTGCCCAACCCATTAACATATCTAATTGGTAACATTTTAATTGATCTCACAAAAGTAGCGGAGATCTATGAACACATGGAAATGTACGTAAAAAAAAATGTTTTGGTTAGAAGGTCAATTTGAATAGAGAAAAAAATATATATGAGACTCATTCAAACAACAGTAAAACAGTGCTGAAAGTGTTTTATATTTGTTTTAGTCTTTTAAATCAATTTCATGAGTTTAGCTCATGGTTTTGGAGTACTCCTCAGAGAAATTGAAGAGGAAGATTTCTCTCTTCAACTTGTTCGTCAAATCATGTTTCTCTCTTTATTTAGACGAAGAAAAAGTAAATAAATTAAAAAGGAAAAAAGAACCTCATGCTTCTTTTTTTTTTTTTTAATAATAATATTATTCATATAAATTAAATTTGCATGATTGATTAAAGAGAGAATATTATAATGGGTTGCCATTATCTTTCGAGATTCTAACTTTGAGCTTTCTTAATCTCGATAACAACGGCTTGAAGATAATATAAATAAAGTAAATGATCATGTACATATATATATATATATATATACATGTATTTAATGCAAGAGACGTACTCCAAAAGAACTTCCACAGGAGTTTTTATGTGCAATTTCCATCTGGATTGTGGTAAAGTTGCAGTTGGCATCAAGCAATGACAGTTATGAACGACAATTTATAAATATATATATATATATATATAACATCCGCACAACTAAAATTTTTAGCAATATAAAGATTCTACAGGATATGATGGTAAAGTTGATATAACAATTTGAAGCAAAGCAAAATTCATTGATCTTCCATCTTCTGGCTCCTCCTTAGGCAGCGTGTTTAATAATTGCTCATACAAGCAAATTATATTAAGAAGTCATGGTTTACAAATTCAATTCAAAGATTGAAGATATCTGAGTATCAAAGGTTAAAAAGATGCAAAGATGAACCCTACAAATTACATACATAAAAAAGGAAAACAAAAACTAGGATTATACACATATACAGACAATTTTACCTTGGCAAGTTTGCGGTCGCAACAACACTTGTTTCCCATAGACTAGCACAGAGTCATATCCAATGATATTCAAGTGTCACTCCAGTTATCATCATCTTCACCATAATCACTTCCAACAGCCTGACAAAAGGTATCCGTTATCAGTTTCATGGTGTTTTATTCAAGAAAATACAAAAACAAACCAATTGGGAAATAAGAGGCAAAGAGAAGAGGAAAAGAAACCTGGCGGATTGCATTTGCTTTCTCTAAAATTGCAGTGACGTTTGCATTTGTAGGGGGACCAGACGCACTGTTCGGCCTTGCTGCCACTGTACGTCTCAGGTTGAATGACTAAAAACAATATGGTGAAGAATAAATGACAAATTAGCCTAAATTAACGGCAGGATTGTCTTAATGTACTATCTACTCCAAACGATCAGACAGTAAAAAGAATTGGTGATGTCAAATAGACACTACAAAGGAAACAAGCTCCATCACTTGAGACATTCACATGCTAGGACCTTATTTATATGAACCACCGTTCCAAATTCCAAACAACCAGTATTTCTAGCAAAAGACTTATTCTGAATGAGCCGTAAGAGCAATGCCACAATAACAAAGAAGCAGAGATGGAACTTCTGCATCAAAAGAAGTGGCTGACAGATACAAAAATGATTTTTCATATTCAGTCTAAAGTAAACTGCTCACTTTTGTTCTGATTTGATGTAAGAAGTCTTCCTTCTCGTCCATCCCCTTGTCATTTGTAGCCTTGTTATTTCCTTTGCATCTCTTATGTTTCCACTGGTCAGCCTGCAACCAAAGAGATTAATATCAAGGTGGGAAATCCCCAAATGCGATTAACATATAAAAAGTTTTAAAAATTAAAAAATTTGTAAGAATACCTTGTTCTCTACTTTAGAAGCAGTTTCCTCCTGACTAGATTGTTTTTCATTCGCCTGGGATGGCTTTGGTTGCTGAGAGTCGGCAGATTCAAAAAGTTTCACATCAAATGTATGCTTAAGAGCATCTGGTAAAGTAAGATGTTTTCCTTCCAACGTATCTGAATGGGCTTTTGCCCACCATTCCACAGGAGGGAGAGGTGGTGGCAAAGGGGCATGCTCCATGGGATTTTGAAGTTTCATGAGATCCTTTGAATCAGAAGTGTCATTTGCTTCCATAGGTAATGCAGGAGTTACACTGTCGAAACTAGGAATGTCAAGTAAAGAAGCAGAGCAGGAAGGGTCCGCATCATCCTCAGTATAAAAACTTCTAAGTTCACTATCAACATGGCCATCATTGACTGTCTCCCCAACCTTCAGTGAGCTTGAGACAGATTCCATGGATGACATTCTACAAAAAGCATCATAGAGCTCCTGATCCTTGCTTTCAGAGGTTTCACCAGATCCCCACTGCTCAGAGTTCGACTTAGAGTAATGGCTGTGACAATCATCTGACATACAAGGAGATGATCTGCAGAAAGTGTCATCGTCAGAGTCGAAACCAATGTCATGCAGTGAAGTTGGAAGCTCCGGGACCAATTGAAAAGAAGGAAACATATCTCTAATGCTTTGAAGAGAATGACCTCCATCAGGAAATTTTAGCTTCAGTTTGGAAGTTTCAAAGTCATTTATTGGGTTGAAAGATATTTTCATATGTTCAAGTGGTGGAGAATCAGGAAGTGAGTCTAACGGAGGTCGAACACCGAACTCATTTTTGAAACTTGTCAGAATTCTTTGATATGAGATTCTGTGGTCCTCACTCTGCTCAATTACCTCAGTATTTAGAGTGCTCGAAGGATTAGATTCACCATCATGTGAAAGTGAAACTTTCCTACCAAAACCAGTCAAAAGTAATTTCTGCCCAAGACCTAAAACTCCAGATTGGTTTTTATCAGTCTCTGGCTTGGGTCCAACAGGCATAGTCCCTGGTGCCAATTTGCCGTTCAGGGACAAGGCAGCCCCATCAGCATGATAAAATATTTTGCCCTGCTCAGAATCACCAGAATTTTCAAGTTTGCCATCTAAATTAACTCCCAGAGAAGAATTCTTTTTGTTATTAGAGCTTGAAACTTTTTCAATGCTTTGAGAATTCTCAACCAACTTACCTGGTCTTTCCTTCTGTTCATTCGGATGACCACCTACCTCATTTTCACTTGTGGTCATTAAGTCTCTAATTAGAGAGTTTGGTGCAGCAAAATCTGGAGGTTTGGATGGCTCAAGTCCTAACAGGCCACCGTTAGTCCAGATTTTAATTGGTTGGACAGGGAAATTTTCTGGATGAGATTGAGGCTCACAGACAGTGCTGATAATCCTATTACCCAAAGTATTTTGTGAATCAGAAATTCTGGAGCCAGAGGATGATAATCGATTATCAGGGGAAACAGATTCTATTTTAGAACCATTGAAAACGTTATTGCTTCCACATAAATCAGTGCCTCGTGAATGATCTGAATCCAAGGATCTTCCAGAAATTTGCAGTATATGTTCATCAGCTAAATTCTCTGAAGAAACTGAGTCGGGCAAATGAGAGGACATTCCATCATTTGAAGGAATGTAGGATGTGGTATGAGATTCATTAATGAAACAAGGATGATCAGGACTATGTATCATATGCTTGTGCATTCCACGAGAAGGAGATTCATAAGTGGATTGATGATGATCAGGACTATTTTTGATTTGCTTGCATGTTCCATCTTCTATTCTTTCATTATCCAAATCACATGAAATCTGCTTAACTGGCTTTTTTCTGTACTCCACATCATTTTCAGATTCTGATTCAATAGTGTTAAGTGCATCCATGTAATTATCTGGTTCACTTTCAGGTTCATCAAGCTGATTCATATTTGTCATTGACTTTCTAGTATCTACATCACCAAACAACATATCCACACTTTGTGGGTTAACATCTTCCCGGTTCTGTTTATCTAGGCCAAGATTTATTTCAGGCAAATCCATAGATTCCTCTCTGTCACATTGTTGACCCTTGGACTCCACTATTTCTGCCTTCTCATCCCAACTAAAAGAAGGTGAACTGGGGAAACCTTGCTCTTGTTGCGGACTATAAGGAAAGTTATCATCTACAATCTGAGTTTTCTCCTCAGAAAAATCTGAAGCAAAGGTATCAATATGTTGTGTCAAACTAGAATAGGCTTCTTTAGGTATCTTTTCTTCCTGTTCTAGTGAAGAATTTAGATTGAAAACACAATCAATGTAGCCTGAACTACTTCTACCATCCAAAGAGTTTAAATGATCCCCTATATCAGACTTGAATGTCATGTCCACTGTGGACCCATTTTGAGAAGTCCGCCCACTGACAATTGGAGAAGTAAATTGCATCCTGCACAGTCAGATACATGGTACAGTTTATTTTTATCAAAATGATTGAGGATATGCATTGATTGAAGTACACAAGCATCTTCAATACCTGCTAGTGCGATTGGAGATGAATGCAGGACGTGAAAGTTCTTGATTTCGTCGTGATGATCTTTTTTTCTGTCCATTGTTGTTATTACAGAGAGAGAAGATATTATTAAGAGAGAGAGAGAGAGAGAGGGGATAAAGATGGAGGAAAGACATCCTCCGAACATACCGAAGAGGAAAATCTTAAGGGAAAAGAAAAGGAAAATGGAGCAGACATCAAGTTCGGATATTCTTCGATTCTTTTGCATAAATAAGAAAAACAACCCTTCCTTCCCCCCACCCCCCCTCCCCCAAGCCCAAAAAAAGTTTCTTTGCTCCTTATTTTTCACGTAATCCCTAGGGTAGGCGAAGAAAAACACCCGCAAAGCGGAAAAGGACAAACCCAAAACTGTCCGGACACAGCAAAACCTTATGTTAAGGATTAAACTGAGAAGTTATGATATCGAGTATTTCCCTATCAGTTAAGGACTTTGTGAGATAGATCAATAATGCTGATCAGCTATGATATGAAAACTGAATAATATTTAGGAAATAAGAAAAGAAGAAAAGATTTTATGTTGTGGCCGAAAGTGCAAATGAGAATATTGAGAAAGTTGATACCTTTATCAAAAAAGGAAAATGCATACCTTTGTTTTATGACTCCTCTTATCTTTCTGAACTTCGTCACAATCTGCTGCGGTCGAAACGCCTGAAGCACTTCTGAAGAATGCCGGATCAGAGTATCTCCTCAAACAAGAGCCCGGACCATTAGTGTCAAATCTGAGAGGTAAAGCAGAAGAATATTGATCAAAATAAATTGGTCAATAATTGGCCAATACCAATCATTTCTTTGAAAACACAGGCCACTGCCATACTTGTCAAGCAAATTCAATCGTGGAGGATCACGGCATTCCTCGTAGGAGTCCATGATAAATCGTGGCAAATCATTGCAGATAAAATGATTTTGTTCACTCCGTATACGAGGATGCCACTCATGACCTGCAAGGGAACTGCTCTTTATAAAGACTTGAAACTTCTGACAATCATACATGGAAATACAGTAGGGATACAAGAAAAACCTTCATACTGTTGATTACCACCATTTTTTTTTGGTTCATTATTTATTAAATGAAACAATGTATTGCCATGTTGCACTGTGGAAAAAAAAAAACATTCCTTACGGACACAGGAGTGGATCAGATAAAAAGTTGGTAAGTCTGGATCAGTTCTAGGTTGGTTTATCCTAAACTGCAATCCAAGTCAACTTTTCCAGAATATCAATAAATGTCATTTCAGCCCTCAGCAAAGTATTAAAACAATATATACATTCTGCTGTATGGATCTTTCTTCTGTAAATTTTGCTTTACCGACTACGGGTAACCATCAACTTATTTCTATTTGGTATTACTTCAGAATCCTCCTTAACCTACTCTGCTCTCATTCATTGGAGGATATACACATATTTGGTCAAATAATCCAATTCGAAGTTGTGTATTATAAATCAATAGAACTATGCTCTCAAAGGTCTGCAAAAACAGTTTCCATCACAACCATGTAAGGAAAGTATGAAATGCATAGTAGGTGGCCATAGAGACCACAAATTATATCCATAATCATGTTCTTTTAATGTAATCTTAACACCAAATTTCTCTGAATATACAATATTCTTGTTTTCTTGTATTTCCATTTCTGTTTTAGCCTTTAGGAATTTTTTTTGAAATAACATAAGCCTTTAGGAATTATTTAGGAATAAAGCAAAATAAGGATTTAAGTAATTCGAGAATAGATAAGGAGTTTAGGTTTAATAAGGATTGGTTAGATCCGACCAATTGGGAAACCAATACAACGGTCTCCCTTTATAAGTAAGCTATTTGATCAATTAGTAATGTCAAACAAAAAGATCTTAATGTATCTAACTCTAAGATATCAGGTTTTCTCCGATAAGCCCTAACCATAGGCTGTCAGGGCCAAAAATCCAACAAGCAAGCTTCAAAATTGCTGACTTCAAGGCAGCAGGCTATCGACTAGATACAAGACTTGGGACCAAAACATTAGGATAACTTGTAAAAGAACTGAAAACAAATTTATTACATAGCTAATGAGGAAAACAACATTCTACAAGAGTTCATTAACTGTGCCATAAGAAGTGGAAGTGGAAGTGGAAGTGGAAGTGGAAATGGGAGAGACCATTCCATTTGGGTGCTATAAACTAAGAAAGGTCAAGAACATCACAGTGTTGGACACCATTACCAACAAAGATAATTTTTTATGCTTTTCACAACCTATTTAACATGGACATTTATACAGGATATCCAAATGGATGAATGTAAATCCAACTAACAGCATGATATCCAGAGTATTTATGTGAGGTACAACCACAAGAACCATACCAGCTGTGTAAGCAAAATGTACATGACTAGTTTGGGCCAGCACAGCCTTCTCAAGAGGAGGAAGAGCAGCTTCAATGTGTTCCACACGGATCACCAATTTATGACTTCTAGAAGCCGTATTCATCACTTGCTCTTGTAAGCCATGGAAGACTTCTGCTGCAAATCTACATGTTAAAGATACCACCTATTAGGATAGTTCAGAACTATTTGCATACAAGAAGCAAGTAAAAACAAGGAGTTATAAAGATAAGTAAGTAAACAAAAAGATTTTAGAAAGTGTGACAAGAGTGCATATTAAGTGTAACTAGGGTAAAATATATATTAATAAAATATCTACATGTGTAATTAATTGTGTGTTTCTTTTTATTGTTCATGAGAATATGTATATGTAGGGTGATAAAACACACAACATGTGATTCTTGCACATGGTATAAGAGCTCTAGGTTAAAAAAAACTCTAACTCTACTGCAAACCCTAATCAGTTTTTCATTACTGAAATAAGAAAAATCCTAAAGGGCAAGCTTTTATAGCGCGCCACTGCAACAACCACCATCATCACTGGCCTTCATAGCTGGAAAATCCCTAGGTGCAAAGCCCACTGTCACGCACCATAAGCACCCAGACGCTACAATAGCTGCAGCACCACTAAACTGTGTGCCCAGAACAGCCGTTGCTCCCTAAAGCCACAAGCCAGTTGCGCAAATGAGACCAGCAGTGCAACCACTCAACAGGGTGCCCACGACCACACGTTACCCCTATACGACCCACGTCTATTGCCTACCCCAGCCACCACTTGCAGCAGTTCCTCCAACCACTGTCCTTGATATCTCCTCCTTTCCAGCCACAACAAATGATGCATATCACCTACTGAACCAGCCTTCATTGCTTGAATTTTCCCGACCATGTTAGAAGTAACCTCACAGGTCACTGGTATTAACCCTAAAATGAAAACTTTACAATCAATCGCAGAATTCCAATCAATTCATGCCACCTATCGCCTGAATGAAAAAAATTACCTAAATTAGTCACAACTAATTCAGACAATCCTCAAAAGAAAAGGAAACTCAGCCTTATTCTAGGCACTAGTCCAAAACCGAGAGATTCATAATTTGATGTCTGGGATGAATAAGATTTAGTGATAATAGTTTGGCTCTGAAATTTAGTGTTGTCAGATATAAGCAACACTTGTACGTTTCTACTAACTGCTAAAAAAGTTTGGAACACAGTTAGATGAACTTATTCCAGAATCAAAGATATGGGCTCAGACCTACGATCTAACAATAAAAACTTGGTATGCAAAGCAAGAAAGCAGACAAGTTAGAGAATATGTTAACCTACTGAAGAATTGGTCGCAAAAACTAAATCAATATTGCTGCCTCACTATTTATTGCAACAAAAAATGCAGCTACCCTCCTGAATTTTGTAGAAAAGGATAGGACATAACAATTCATGGCTAACTTAAATGCAGAATTTGACCAGGTGAGTTCAAATATTAGGGAAAGAAGACAATGCTCTCAAGGTATGAAGTTTTTTCATTGTAGTCCCAAAAGAAAGTAGGAGAGGGTTTACACTACAACCGCCCTCCATCAAAAGCTCAGAAATGACAACTAAAAGTTTCAGACAATTCCAACAGATGAAGGAGTCAAGTCACACCGAGAAAAAATGCTAGAAACTTCATGAGAAGCCTAACATCTCCAGTAAAGGTTGGGGTACAAGAACAATTCCTCAAGATCTCAATGATAGGCACATATGACCAATCAACAAGGGGAAGAGTAGACTACCCATCACAGTGACTTTAAGGCAGATATTGAGCATCTAAGGACTCGACCAACTCTCCAGAAGAATCCAAATGTACAGGTCTATTAGCACATTTAGGTGCATTTTCTATCTCTCATGATTTAAATGTCTCATATAAACATTTTAAACTGTCCTAAATTTTAAATTCAGGAGTCACAAACCACATGACCAACTCCTCTAAATATTTTAGTACCTATTTCCCATGTCCCAACAATAAGAAAATCATTACTGTAGGTGGTTCCCTTATCATAGTAGCAAGAGTTGGAAACATAAACCTCAGTCATCAATTTACTCTTACTAATATAACCTATGTTCTCAAATTAGGCACAAATCTAATATCAATAACCAAATTATCATATAACCTAAATTGTAAAGTAATTTTATTTTCTTCTCAGTGTGAATTTTAGGATCAAAACTCAAGGAAAATGGTTGGACATATTGAGACTCGAAAAGGGTTATACTCCCAGGATACATCTGAGATGCCACATACCACTCTCTCAACCAACTCCTTAGAGAAGATATGGTTATACTACTGAAGATTAGGATACTCTCCTTCCTCTGTCCTTAAGATTATATTTCCTTCTTAATTTAAAAATAGACTACTAGGTGTGTTGACTGCCACCTATCTCATAAATAGGTTACCATCAAAGGTGTTAAAATTTTACCTTCTTTCCTGATGTAAGAGTTAAAAACAACCTTACCTCGAGAGTCTTTGAGTATGTTACGTATGTTCACAAACATCAATCTTAAAGGAGGAAACATGACCCAAGGTCCATCAAGTGTGTGTTTGTGGGGTACTCACCCATGCAGAATAGATACAAATGTTACCAGTTTTCCATCCAAAAATGTTATATATCCACTGATATTGCATTTGTAGAGAAACTTATCTTCAAGTGTAGATTATATTGCAAGATAAGGAAAATTTATTCTTGTTTGATATTCCCCTACCCTCAAACACTATACTCTCTCAAATAACCAAAACACCAGAAAGCCTGAGTCCAAAAAATGAACTTGAACCCATAATATCATAAAACCAAAATGCACAAAATGAACCGGAACCTATAACACCAGAAAACCAAAATCCACATCTCCTAACCTTACAAGACCCACGATTTTCTCAAGTGTACTTAAGAAGAGAAGACATGAACTTCGATCCAAAGCAGGTTCAAGCATTTGAGTGAGGTACATGAAATGAGATAAACTGATTCCCTAGAGGTTGATCCTCTTTACTTTCTCATTTCTCTTCCTCACATGTTTCCACTGGCATAGCTATTTTTACTTTACACTAATACCCCAAAGAGTATTTTTCCCCACATCTGTAGCAAAGGTTGTTCCTCCTCAATTCTATATGATTTGAATCCCTTAAGAGTGCTACTTCTTGAAAATTTTGAATTTTGAAGAAATTTTCAATGATGGAAATGCTTTGTTTCGAAGAAAAAAATACTTTCTTTTGAAGAAATTGTAGAGTGCTTCAGCTTATTGTGATGCTTGATGGCATCTACTGCTTGTTCTTGTTACAAGACCAACTTAAATACTTGAATCAAGATCCGCGACCTGTGCATCCTCACTGTTGGTCTAAGTTCCTTCTTCATACCACTTATAAAACTAGAAATAAAATATTTTTAGAAATTTTAAACTTTTTAGTTAATAGTTGGACCTCATTTCTTCAAAATTTCCTTAATATTGTAGGACAGTATCTTCTTGAATCAACTTATTAAATTCCTCCACAATGTTGACTCCAGCTAATCCTCTAAACCTTCTATGCAATTCCACATCAAAATTTTCTCATTCAAGCATACTAGGGTCATTTGCTAACCCATGGAACCAAATTTCTGTCTTATCTGCACGGTATATTGAAATTGTTTCCACTTTACTATTTTACTATTTTATCGCATCTTCTAATTTATGTTCTATTTTTTGCAATCAAAGTCAGGAATTTCAATTTTTGGAGAAGGAATTCCTACTTGGTTACCCTTTTGGTTTGAGCTGTCAACCCTTATTTATTTGGTTATAGGGTTTGGTAAAATTCCCCTATCAATATTTAAATAAAGGCAGAGGGACTTACTCGAGTAGTTGTTTCACCTATCTGTGCACTATCTTACAAGAGTTCAATGAGTCTTTCCAATTACTAGCTGAACATCGTATCTGATTTATAATGGCTCAGGTTTGCTGCTGAGATTCATATATTTCGAACCTAAAATATAAAAGTTGTTTCTCCACCTCATGCATATTTTCCTCCTAAGTGGGTATCTTTTGAGGTTTGGACACTACGTCTTTGCCCTTATTTTTAACTATAGCCACGAAACTTGCAAGAGTTTCTTCAGAATTAACGTGCTTTGATACCAAGTTGTTAGATCTCAGCCTTGACATTTAATTTTCCAAAACCGAAAATTTGGATAAATATTAAATTTTAAATAACTATAGTAGAATTTAGAAAGCGAGAATTAATTTTGAGAGTTCTCGAAAGAAGAAAATAATAGACAGAGAATATTAGTGAGAGACTGAGAGAGAGAGAGAGAGAGAGAGAGAGAGAGAGAGAGAGACTTTATAGAGAGAGAGACCAAAGAGAGAAAAATAGATTATTTGAGATTCATTTCAAGAAAATTATATTCTTCTTTCATTTTATAATCCTTTATTTGTATACACAAAATGGTACATGAAAATCCTTTATTTGAGATGGAGACACTAGAGGAACAAATATCTATATCTCAAGAAAGGACATCTCTGCCACCCCTGGCCAACACCCTCTTTCAACCATTGTTCACAACAATAAAATATAGAAAAAGAAATGAAATTGAGCTTATTTGAAGAAAATAATATCTTTTTTTTTAAACAAATTTAAAGAAAATAATATCATCCCCTAATTTATATGAGAATACTGAATAGCTAGGAATCATATAATTTATCTGTGAACTGCAAAGATGATACAATCCAGAAACATGAAGGGATTTCTGCAGTTAAAGTTACCAGGTCAATAATACATGTCATAAATAGCTTAAGGTTAAATATCTGTTCTGAATCTCTAAGTATACATTCCCTATGCATTTTGCCTTCCTACTGCATGCTAGGAGCTTCTTTAGCACTAGAACCTTTTTCAAGAGGTGAAATAAAAACAATAGAAGAAAGAAAACAACACCATAACCAAAGATCAAAACTTGCATTTGAATTCAGCTTGCTATCCAAACAAGCTCAATGCTGCAGCTCCCTAGCATATTCGCAATTAAAACCTTTCATTCTTGCATATTTAGGAAGTAAACTAATCAGATTGAAACCAAGGAAGAAGGTTAAAACATCACATGTCCATTGTAAAACCTTAAAATCCCATCAAGAGGCATTAAGCGTTTCATCATAAAACACTAGCCTTAGGCCAGCAGCACGAACTACCGAAAATTTAACAAGCCAACCATTTGATGATGGACATATTGTTATGTAACATTAACAATAGATACTGTTAAAGCATAAGTCCTTTATCGTGAAAGATAGAATTTCTCAACTACACTTATACCAACTAGAAAGGATCAATTGCTATGAGTAAAACTGTATAACATCATTTCAAATGCTACAAAAGCCAGACAGAGAAAATTCCAAGTCAGGATGCTTTACAGCAAACAAAATATGTAGCTGAATGCATGGAGCTGAACAAAGAACAGATTCGTGGTTAGGAGAATGGTAGCTATTTTGCACAGGTTTTCATCAACAGCCTTTACGTAGAAATGTCACCAATAATAAGAGTGACTTCAACAAATGAAATTTCAAATTGGCTCGGGAGAGAGGAATGAAGCATTTTCTTTCAGCTTATCACCATACAGCAACTCTGAAGTGACAATCACCAGTAAAAGTAAAAACCATAAGGCCAAAAATGCATTTCAACAAAGAATTTCAAAGTCTCAATATGTAGAAGCTGCCCTAGAACACCTCCAATGGTAAAGCAACTTTAAATAAATGACTAGTTGGGAAATGTACTAGATAAATAAGAAGGAGATTGCCCAAGTACGTAGGCTCAAGATCTTTTCACCAATTATAGAAATCAGAATTCACATTGAAGCATTAGCGTGTGAGCTATCTCACTCTGCCTCCATCTAATTATGTCTTAGTAACTTCAGCATTAAAAAAATGAAACAAAAAAACTTCAAACTGTTTCAGATGACTCAGAGGAACTAGATAAATTTATTCTCTGCTTCGCTTTTCTTAGAAACATAAAGAAACTAAAATGAAAGTTTAGAACCTTAGAAGACAAGAAATTTCCTGTCATACGAACTTACTACAAAATAACCCAGAGATTGAGAAAAAAAAAACAGTAAAGCATCAAACTCAATCTTTCCCAACACCTTCCCACTCTCACAATCAAGCATATAGTATTAAACAGAAGAAAAGAAAGAAAAAAACATCCATAACCACATAAATACACAGAAAAAGAATTGCAAAAAAAAAAAGAATGCATACTCCGCCAGATCGCCTAATTGGCGCAAGATCCCCACGAGGCCAGCCACGGCGACGCCATCAAGCACGGCTTTGGGATCTTCCCTGTTAACCTCCGTGTAAAGCTGAGGTTGGGCGAGGCTGTACTGGTTCCTAACTTGAAACCTGACCAACGGCATTTCTATCTCCCTCTCTCTTTCACCGCTGAGAGCAGTATCGATAGAGAGTAATCATAACAGTAAAGGCATAGTAATAACAGTACAGCACAGCAAAAATCCAGGTTATGAAGAAAGAAGAAGAATAACCTATACCAAAATGTTTCGTTTTTCGCCTCTGTAGGTATATGGAGAGAGAGAGAGAGAGAGAGTAGGTGAAGAAGATTGGAGCAGCTTAACTGCCCAGTGATATAAATTTGGTGAAGCTTCAGCCCGGAAACAGACAGAGAGAGAAGAACATTGCCTACGCCAGAAGCCATTCCTCTATCTACAGCGTATTATTGTCTGTGCATTTGAAATTACTAAGATACCCTTCATACTTCGATTAATTACCAGGTTATCCCTTCATTCGTTTTAAATAGGTTCGTGTGAAATGACCAAATTGGGCTTCTGTGAATTGTCAGAGAGAGATAAGAATAGCAACGTGGTTGCCATATTACACTGGGATTTTAAATTAAAAATGTTTTTTTAATATAAAGTAATTTTTTTTTTTTTGTATTGGACAAAAGTCCACTATATTATTTTTAATCAATAAAAAAAAATTATGATGTAAAAGTTATCAACTAAAATTATAACAATGTAATTAAATTTTATGTAAACTCAAATTTTATAATATTTTAATTAAAATTTTAGAATTATTTCAAAAATTACCTCATTTTAAGGTTAAAAAATAATAACATGAAAATTAGTGAACGACGTTTTTTTCTTTTTCAATGTTATTTCATGAATATTTTTTTTTTAATCCGTAAAAGAAATATTAACAAAGAAATTGATACTTGAAAATGTTGAAAATGTGAATATAAAACATTTATGAAGACACTAACTTCTCTTTTATTTCTTGAAGTGCGATAGAAATGGAAATGACAACAAAATAAATTTAAAATGAATTTTATTAAATTAAATTTAATCTATTTTTTATAAAAAATAAATTTGAACTTAAAACTTTTTTCCAACTATATAGATTATTTAATTTAAATTCAATCCAATTATTTTGTCTGCCTATTTCGTTAACCAGCAGATCTGTGTAGACATTTAATTTTTTTTTAATTAAAAAAAAACAAGAAGCATTTAAATTATCTTTTAAAAAATAATATCTTATATATCTCGTTAGATTGTTATTTCATGCAATTTAATTTACAGTCTTATTTATTTTTACTTTATAATGATATATTTATCTTCTTTCTTAAAAATAAAAAATACCAAATTTAAATTAAACACACACACCAAAAAAAAAAAAAGTTATCTCTACTGAAAATATTAATTTAATTTAAAATTCTGTGACATTATGGGGACCCAATTGATGTGAACTACATTAAGAAAAATAATGTTGTAATCTAATCTAAGAAATAAAAGTGTAGAGCACGATTAGAAGCGTTCTAGAATCAAAGACAGTAATAAAACCAATTAAAATTTTAAACTAGCTAGTGATAAATTGAAGGTAATTACCTTATTATTGTGAAATTAAAATTAAGATATTAATGACTTAATATAATTACATTATTTAATTATTACTTTGACGTAGATTCTGTCAATTAATACAAAATAATTAATAAAGTAAAAAGTAATGATATTATTTAAATAAATTAATAGAAAGTAAAAAGCTCTTATGATATTAATTAAATGATGCTCATTTAATCGCTAGTAGCACTTCAATGATCTTCTATTGTGGGAAAAAAGAGAAATAAATAAATATTTATATTTATATATATATATATATATTAGGTTCGTAGCTCGATATAATTAATTAATTAATTAAGTTAAAGGAGATATTAATGTAAGTAAGATAATTAGGCGACAGACCCAGTACGTTGTTGGATCAAAACATGCATGCTACTATAATCATGTCTCACACCCTCATCGAGTCTCCTTATAAATTAAGCCTATAATACAATTTGTAGAATTAAATAATTATGTTGGAATTAAAAACCAGTTTAATTATTAGATCCAAACAGCTCCCTATCTTCTATAAATTTTATAATATAGTTTAGGTTCAAATAGATGAGTAATTAATATAAGCTAATTCAATGGTGTCATTTAATTAATTCGTAGATCCCTATGGTCAGTTTAGTATAATATTAATTAATCAAGACTGGTGGTTTGAAGCTGTCTTAATTAAATGCCAGAGACTGATTAATTATTTTATGATCTGTTTAATTATCTTATGAAAAGAAGTTTGGGAATGGGGTCCCGGTAACGGATATCTAGGATTTATTAAAAGTTTAAATTAGTCAAATAAATTTTATAAAGAAAAAATATGATTAAGATTAATTATATATAAGTTTTCAAGTATATATAAAATTTAAATTAGGAATTTCAATAAATAAACAACTAATAAATCTAAATTATTTGAATATATAATATTTTAGCAATTGATAAGAATAAAATCCTATTAAATTTTAAATAATTCAAACACAATTTTCTCATAATAAATACCGTGTAAATATATTTCATTTATTTTTGTTTAAATTTATTATAAATATAATTTATATAACAATTGTATTACTAATTTCTTAATGTATCACTGTTACGTTGTAATGCTCCGTTTTTTTTTTCTTTCAACGGCGTAAGATAAAACAATCTCATAATCCAATATGTAAATTCTATGCCAATTTAATCACACATAAAGAAACTTGTCCATAGTTCTTTATTCAAACCCAATGTAAACTTACAATTCAACATATACATCAAATGACAAAATCATATCATATATCTCCAGCAATCAGTATTCATACTAAGATAAACTTTTACATACTACAACCCGCCACAAAGAAAACCCTTGCCCTATGGCGCTAAAGACTAGGCTCCGTAACCAGCAATTCAGATCCCGGCTCCATCCCTACTTCATTTGTTATGATAAGAAGTGAGTTCACATAACTCAATACGATAAAAATCAA